TGCCTTTCTAGCCTCCTCGGGAGTGGGAATCTTACCCTTGAATTCTTGTTCAAGTATTTTACTGTCCCTATTTATCATACGCCAGTTCTCGATAGATACACCGTCAATTTCAGTCGTGTATTTTTCGTGTCTCTCTTACTAGCGTAACATACCAATTTTTAACACTTTCATATGAGTATTCTCTGCTTTTGAGGTCTTCTTTCAAAGACGATAAACGTTTACGCTCTTCGCTGATTCTCTTGTTAAACTCCTTTAGGGTTTGCTTTTCCTGCGGACGTTTTTCAATATTTTTGCAAAACGTTGACAATGAACAGAGATTAGGATATGGACAATTTAGTCTATTGTGATGCTCTTTCAAGTGACACTTGCTACAGGTTGGCATAGTCAGGGTAGACAACTTATTTTCATTTGGCGTTCGTTCTCAAACGAAATTATCGCGCTCTTTCTCAATGGAAGACAGATTTCTCTCCTGATCTTCAATCGCACTTTTTTGATGTAAAATATAAGACTGTAAAGGACTAACTGCGGATAAAGATGGACTCTCACAGCAGTGGTAAGTAAGTCCTTTCCTGGCTGTTGTCACACGATTAATTGACCGATCAGAAGCTTTGTTTGAGGCTTCGCCTTTGGCTTATGAAACATTTTGTTCAGCAGTATCAAACATATTTTCGACAGAGCACGAAGTAACCAATGACTACAAAACAAACATAAAATCCAAATCAGCGTGTTTACACCAGATAGAGACAGTAATATTTTAGAGTTCAGTACCTTCGTTTTAGCATTTTGATTTGTTTTTCCAGCAATCTTCGCTCTCCAAGCTTTTGGCCATCCGGTTCAAAAATCACGTCAATGTCTCCATAATCCATAGCTGCAATCGCCCCCACAGTATCAAAACCATTATTCTCAAAGGTGAAGGATAATGCTCTAAATTAAGATTTTTAAGCCATTTTTTTGTTGGCGTACGCCTGAAATCCATGCTTGTTGTTTGTCAGAGCCGCTTGCAAAAATTCTTATCACGTGGTACATAAATTCTTATCGCGAAGGCGCTAAAAACATGATCATGTGGTACATAATATCTATCCCGCGCGTTCAAATCTCGAGAGATCAATTTACCACTCTAATGGTTTCGATAATATTATGGATTGAAAACAGGGACATCTGAATAATCTAATATGGCCACAAATTTACTAGGCGCGAAATAGATAATTTGAGCGTGCAAAGCATGATGGTTAGCATACACACATTGCTTGTTTATACAATATGTAGTTCATACAACTAACACATGAAGTTGGCAATGCCAGGAGTGTTTTGTTACAGAGCAGGTAAGGTGTAATGTACATAGTGAACTTCGTAGCCCACACTGATGTTAATATATTAAAAAAATTCTCATTCAGACAACATTGAAACCATTAAGAAACACTTAGACAACTATTTAAAGACTGGTGACACCAAAACACCAGATAGAGGCTGAAATGTGTTATTTTAGGCTCCACCTAAGAAACCTAAATGCAGTAGAACAATGTGCACCAATAATACTGACAATATGGTAGCCATGGTGAAAGCAAAATATAGTTTGAATGACCGAACAGTACGTATTGTTATGTTATAAATGTAAAATTTCTGAAGAGGAATGAAATAATACAACATATTTTTCATTTTGTTGTTCACCACCCTTTGAAACAGACACCATGTAATAGATAATTAAAGATATGTAACTGTGTTACTCGAGCAAACAAGAGTTTCCAGTATCAACAAGTATTGCGCTTAGTTGTGTTACTTGCTTGTCTAGGCTGTATATCTTTACAACTATTGTACTATTACTTTCCTAACTACGTTTATCCTAGCCCATCCTGCCAACTTTCCATGTGGGAGAAAACTGGAGTGCCCGGAGAAAACCCACGACTTTCGGCAGAGCGTTGACTGGCTCTTTTCGCATAAGTCTGTAGCCAGTGCCTTGCTCTGACGACTGCACAACCAAAGCCCCACAGAAGTGCATTTTTATCTCATGTCAAATTGATTTTTCTGAGGTTGGATTATTATATACTGAGACAATATTATTTAATAGAATAATGAAGACTTGTCAGATGAGGATGTCGGGAATCCAGCAAAAGTATGTGAACTCAGAGTAGAAAACAAATATTTGCACCTAAAAGTTAAAGGCCTAGAGGATAAAGTCAAGGACCTAAAACAGGAAGTCAGAGATATGCGTCGTATTGCTTCCAATGTGGAAGGTAATTTTAATTTCAGGCCATATATTACTTATTCCTCGGGTTGTGGTCATTTATACAATTTCATACAGCCAATATTATGGTAATTATATAAATTTTTCTAGATCCAAAGACAAGCGACGAGAATATGAGAAGCATTGTTTTTTATATATATATATATATATGTTTGTTTTTTCTTTATTTAGAGTTATCAAGTGTAAGTTTGGCCATATCAGAGCTTACAAAAATTGTAAAATCAATGACACCTGTGAAGAGAATATCATCATATTCTCCATCATCATCATCTTCATCAAGAGATTCGATATCATTGAGATCTTCATCACAAGCAGGTTTTAAACCAATTAGTGAAGACAGTGATGATTCAGAGAATGTGGAGAATAATATGGTATGGTTTATTGACTTTATTCAAACATTTATATTTGCTAACAAATGAGTGCATACCCTGCTAGCAGAGTGTCATTCTCTGTTGCTGGTTGTTGGTTTGGTACATGTATAGCAACATAAAAGCAACAGCCACACAGAAGCAACAGAAAATGACATTCTGCTAGCAGGGTAATTTGTATATTGTTTCTGGCTGCAACTACTTATTGGTGTTTGTGAAGAAGTTAATTAAAGAGTAAAAGAGACCTGTCAGTTCAATCCCCAGATTGAGTCGGCCAGAAGTATTTGACTTATGCATTTCTTGCAATTGCACCTCGGCAATTATATGTTGGGTTTTTTGCTAGTTTTTCTTTGAACAACAATTTTAGTACGGTACTAGCATAAGTTTTCCAATCTTGTTACATTTACTCTGATATGAGGTTGGAAGTTCTCTTAAAATACATATTGGTTTGACATCATATTCCCAAACTTATTTTGTATGTCTTTGTTGTGTGGTATCAAAGGTGGTTATCCATCCTGGCATTTCAATTTTAAAAGCTCAAAAGAAAATGTTGGACACCTGTGGAGATGCCAAGTCGTATACCTATTCCATAATGGAGATGTTTTGGTCAAGGGAAGTGCTAGCCAGTCACTCGATGAGTGGAAGAGTTTCCAATGCACACAAAGACAAAGAGCCCAAGCCATGTCTTGATGTTACAAAGATAAATGCTTTGTGCTTAAGTCACTGTTACTGATAAATTAATATATTATGGTGAAGTGGTTTGGTTAACTTTGCAGAGATTATATTATTATTGCAGTAACTATACTATTATTGCAGTAATTAAAGTAAATTTGCTGCAAGTTATATATATTTAAAGTTGCTGCAAGTTATATATAAAGTTGCTGCATGTTATATATAAAGTTGCTGCATGTTATATATAAAGTTGCTGCATGTTATATATAAAGTTGCTGCAAGTTATATATATAAAGTTGCTGCAAGTTATGTATATAAAGTTGCTGCATGTTATATATATATAAAGTTGCTGCAAGTTATATATATAAAGTTGTTGCATGTTATATAAAGTTGCTGCAAGTTATATATATATAAAGTTGCTGCAAGTTGTATATAAAGTTGCTGCAAGTTATATATATACAGTTGCTGCAAGTTGTATTCGAAAGTGGAAGCATCAAGTGGAAACATAGCTCAGTGGTTTTCGCGAATTATTTTAATTTTTGCGAAGTCATGTATATTCAGTGTATATTGTATATAAATTATTTATATATTACATGATTTACAATTACAAATATGTTTTGCGCTAACTGTGGGGAAATCCGGCATTCCTAACGCAAAGTATTGTCACAGTTGTGGTAGAAGTGTCAACCAAACAAATAGTGATACAACAAATCGAGTGAACAAAATAGAGGAGCCTGTTTTGCGAGCAGAAGGCAATGCCAATGGTGATATAAACAGTGCGACAATGGGCAACTCTTCTTCTACTACGTCTATGTGTACTTCAACAAATGCACGACCACTCACCTTCTCTGACTTTTGTTCTCGCAAGGAGAGCGATCGAAGCAAACATTTTAAACAAAAGAAAGATAGTAAAAGAATGAAATTTCATGATAAATCTGGGAAATCAACCCACATCAAAATAAACATTGGGATTATGACAAAAAAAGAGAGGATACGCTTGTTGTAAAAAGAGGTGTAACCCTTCCAGTAACAGTAAGAACAAGTATAAACTATGATGAATTATTAAATAAAGCAGTGGAGAAACATCACCGTTTCAATAAAGACATTATAAAACACAACGACAAAATGTTCTATTATCTCCTCTATGGTGACAAGAAAAAAGCTGATACCCTGCCTGGTTGTGATGAAGCATTTTCGTTGAAAAGATATAAAGAGGAAATTGACGAGCCGCACAGCCGAATTACTTTATTCTTGTGCTCTTGTTCAGATTATATGGCTAGCATTTTCAATGACCTCATTGACTCTGACTCAGATTCTGAAATTGATGCAGTAAGTAAATATATGTAGCAAGAAAGACCTGAAACATTGCCTAGTGTTTAACAAGCACCTCCACCAGTTGTGATACAAGTAGATGAGCGTGATTTCTACATTCGTGGTCAACAACCGCAACCATCAACATCAAAAGATGTACAGTGCCCCATGTGCTTTTTGATGCTTCTCATGCAACATAATCAAGAACATGCTGATAATTGTTCACCTTGGGCTGTGGAATCAGAGCAGTCAGCAGATTTGTTTAAATGTGGAATTCCAGCAGAAATAGAAGAATCAACGGAGCAGTTGACACAGTTACATATGTCACAGTACAAGCATTTGTTAAAAGACCAGATTGCAGGGTGTGCTACCACGACAAATGTGAAACGTATAAATATGAGAAGAAGATTCTTATGGGAAGATTTTAAGGCTGCAAGGAAGAGTAAAGTTGGACCACTTTCTAATTTGAAGGTGGTTTTTGTTGGGGAACCATCAATCAATGATGGTGGGCCTAAGAGGGAATTATTTTGCGGTAAGTCTTGTCAACCTCTTAAGAGTGAATTAAAATGTTAAATCATAGCCTGATCAAAATTATTTCGATATTGTCTAGACCAATCCCCAACCAAAAATATTTTCCTCAGTTCAAAGATAACTTAATGAAGCTCCTAAGCAATTTTAATAGCATTTGCTCAAAAAAATATGTTACTGAATTTATCAGAAAATGGCATTATTCAAAGATTGCGGCAGAGCTTCCCCCATTGACAAGTAAAATCCTCTGGCATTAGACAAGTAAAAAGAAAACAATTTGAAAACAATTTGACACATTGACACTGAAATGATAATGAGACCCAATGTGTTAATCAAGAATTTACCATGGTGCAACATATGCAAATTGTCAACCACCTCTGTCAACAGTATGTAATTAATCCATTATATTAAAGAACCAATCACATCACATGTACAATGATAGCAATATGCCATTTTTTGTAAGCATGTTGGTTATAGTAAAAAAAGCATTTTACTTTGCAACCATGACTTTTCATGCTTTATTTTAATAGAGCTATTAACAGTTATTCAACGGATGTTCTTTTGTGATGGATATCCAGTTCAATCAACAATGGCAATAAATGGTGGTGATTTTAAATTATGTGGTGAAATCATGATGATGTCTAATGCAAGGTGGCCCAGCACCTAACTTCCTTGCACCATCAGTGGTCTTCTATATTACTGGAAAACCACTTTTACCTTCAGAAATTCGTAACTCTATGTATAAGTCAGCATGTGAAAATGTAAGTATATATTTCAAAACGAAACACATGTCTGTTGTATGTTTATATGATGTACACAATGTTCAATCCAAGAATGCACAGTAACACACACCTAACCTTTCAAAAAGCATACTTTGCATCCGACAAGGTCAAACTGAGGGCAAATAATTGTGTATACTTTATATTTATATATGTAGTACATGTACTGTATTTGAAATGTTTTATAACTATATCTCAACTCATAGTTGCATAATGCCACAAGTGATGCAGAAGTGAAGGAGCTGCTAATGAAAGAAGAAATGTTAGACATCCTCAGTGAAATTGGATATAGAGGAATTCCGCAAAGAGAAACTTTGTCTGGTGTGGAAGTCATTGTACAGTGAGTCATCTCATGTTTGGTCCTTTACCAGCTTAATTAACACATTGAGTTGCAGAGCTTCTCCGTTGATGAGACTAAAATTGTTGGGGTGCATTGTAGCTCATTTGGTAAACATTTAATTACATAGGTTGGAGGTTCCTAGTAGATTCATTTAAAAAAAAAACCATACCTTCCCTGCCTACAGTAAGAACAATTCAATTAACAGGGGACCCCAGAAATAGCTTACTGCAATTTAGAGCTCACCATTTGAAACGTTTTTGGTGCAAGATTGTTTCTTTAAAATCGCTCAAGAGTCAAAAGCCATGGCTGATTGTGATTGGAACCATACTTACACTATAGTTCATATTAACATATTAAAAATGTTAATTTTGAATTATACTCATAATACATTGCACAATATCATATTATTTTTTAGGTCTATATGTGTAAAAGATCAGCTGAGTGATTTTCTTCCTGCACTTCTCCAAATTATGCAGGGTATAGAAGCAACTGGTTTGATGGATGTTATAAAGAAATCGCCAGAAATTTGGGAACCAGTATTTGGTATTGGTAATTCATTCGAGAAAACAGGCAGTGAATTTTTGGATCAGTTAGTTGCAATATACAGCAGAGTCTCAAATAAAAAAAATGGCTGAGATAGATACTTTTAAATACTTTTGTGATGCAATTGAATGTTTAAGTGAAGGTAGGTATTCAAATGAAACTACAAATCCTGCAATTACTTCATTGAAATTACTATTACTGTAAATAGTGAAAAGGTAACAAAGATTGATTACAGTATGTTGGCTTGATGTGGATGTGTGTATGTTTTTAGGAACAAAACTACTACACATGACATAGCATGATTTGTGACACATTTACATGTTATATACACAATTATGCATTGTAATTTGTTAGGTACGGCATTACAGCTGAAAGATTTCTTAAAGTGGTTAACAGGATCCTACCAAATACCACCGCTTGGCTTTCCCAAACCGTTTTCTGTTGCACTTGTCCATGGTTGCCAAGAAGGATGTGCCTGCAGACCAACAGCATCAACGTGTGACATAACCATCAAACTGCCAGTGCACATCACGGATGAAATAGCAATGAAAGAAATGATTGCTTCGGCTATTCAAGACTCTTATGGTTTTGATTTGATTTAGGTCGTAAATGGATTGCTCTACTGTATCAAGAATAGATGTTGAAGAAAGTCACCAATTTTGTAGCATTTGGTTTTTTATAATTGGTAAGTAGTCGAAGATGATCATATCATATGTTGTGTTATCAGGTAAATTATTTTGTTCATATTTTGTTTGAACCTAAAACCTAAACATATTTACGCTTCTTTTGCTGGTTGGTATACAATGCTAGTAATGCGAAGTTATAAATCCTTTTAGATACCCATATTATATAAATGTTTTTGCATTATTACAGCGTAAAATATGTTATATTTACTATACTGCGAAAACATACAGTGCAACACAAAATTCAAGAATAGTATAACATGTTGTGTTACATTCAAATTACAATTGTTCTTCTTGTAAATTGTTAAAACTTTGGAAAAGATAAAAAGCTTCTTCCACGTTTGCTGGATAGTTCCACATTTCTGATTCCATGATATGTTCAAAGTAATCTTTGTACCGGTCCTCTTCTATCTCCATGTGGCATCGTGGTTCAACTTCGACGATTTTATCTTGAGGAACGCGAAGAAGACAATCAATTGCACCAGAGTTTTCTGGTAGATAATACAAAATATCTGGCACTCCAGGAATTGTATCATGACGAGATTTTCTAATGTAATGGCTATTCCATTGCTCCTATACTTTGTCAAGTTCGTTTTGTATAACTTTGGAATAGCAAAACCACAGACAATGCATGTGAAAATTGTTACCAAGTTCTAAAATTCCGGAGTCACTCATATCTTTAAAAATATTGATCCACCAGAAAGAATTGCTCCTTCTAAAGAAAGACCACCAAGACTCGATACGCTGATTTGATGGTGATGACCCGTACTGATGAGCTTTCACTCCTCCATATTCATCATTACCATGAGCTCTGAAATAGGACTGCATCCCAGCAATTAAAACATTTTCTGTTCCGCAGTCCGACCTTACAACTCGAGGACATTCTTTTAAATTTTCTATGGCATCAAGGAACAACCTGGCAGGAATCTTAGGATTATTATTTGATTTGACAACCTCTAACCGGATGATTTGCCTGCTATATCCACAAATACACCCATGTATGTATGGGAAACCCATAAGGTTTCAGTTCGTCGTAACCTGAAAAGGTATTACCAAATGTTTTCTAATTAAAGACTCACACTCTCAGTTATTCAGGCATTTTAAATTTTGAGAGGAAAATTTACCAAATTATGTCATGCCCCAACTCAATTAGATGTCATCATGCTGTCAGACACAAACGAGAGCCAAGCCGTATATAGAAAATTGTAGGACAATAACCCTACCCTATAGTTGCGTCATAAATACTTTTTGGCCTGGAAACATCGCTTTCATAAATAAGGGAGATTCCGAGATTGGCCCAACATTCTTGAAAATACTTATGACGTAATTACCAAAACCATGTACTGACTGCGTTAATATAGTCTCCGTATGTACCTACCATCTATGTGCCAGGCAAAATTTGGCCCAAATGAAACATACGTTATTCTCCGCAGGCGTCTTGCCTTCCTCTCCCTGACTCCATCTGGGTCAATCTCTCTCATAATGGCAGATACTACTCCGTGTGGTACGGTTATGTGATGCCTCAATTGCAAGACGTGCCAGATGTAACGATATCCAGCAAGCGAACCAGCTTCTTGCATCTCCTTTTCTATGCACATGCGAACAGCTTCTTCGTTAAAATCACTTTCTCCTCGCTTTAAGCCAAGCTCTTTTAGTTTTCTTTTAAGTGTTCTTACGTGAAACTGAACTCTGTGATGTTTTGCAAGCAAGCCTACAATATCGTGATACTGATAACCACGATAAAAATAATCCTCTAATATATTGTCAATGTTATCTCTATTATTTTCAAAGTTATTAACAACGTTTATCCTGGTACCACATTCATGGCAAAAGTTTGCTTCTTCTATACAAACCACACCACAAGAACGACAAAACATATCCCCAATATTAGAAGCTTTTTTAAAAGATAATAGGACTGAGTCAAGATGGCGGTCATCAATTTACGAATGGTGATAAACGTCTAATGGCGGGAAAATATTTGTAGAACTTGCAGCAACTTTATATATAACATGCAGCAAGTTTATATACAACTTGCAGCAACTTTATATATATAACTTGCAGCAACTTTATATATAACATGCAGCAACTTTATATATATAACTTGCAGCAACTTTATATATAACATGCAGCAACTTTATATATAACATGCAGCAACTTTATATATATAACTTGCAGCAACTTTATATATAACATGCAGCAACTTTATATGTATAACTTGCAGCAACTTTATATATACAACTTGCAGCAATTTTATATATAACTTGCAGCAACTTTATATATATAACTTGCAGCAACTTTATATATAACTTGCAGCTACTTTATATATAACGTGCAGCAAATTTACTTAAATTACGGCAATAATAGTATAGTTACTGCAATAATAATATAATCTCTGCAAAGTTAATAAAATTACTGCAATATATCTATTTCCAGCATGTCCCCTATGGGCCACCGTACCTTTGTTTATTGTTAATCATATAATTTAATTTAGTTTTAAACAGGATTTTTCAAAAGGTTTTTATTTTTATATTTACAACGTTTTGAACAATTTAACTGACCGTCCGGACAGTTACACTGTTCGAAACGTTGTAAATATAAAAATAAAAACCTTTTGAAAAATCCTGTTTGAAACTAAATTAGAAATGTTTTTTAATGTTTCTCGTCATGTAGTATCTGTATGCAAAACTTCGTTGAGTTTGATCGGGTCAATAATAAGTGAGCTATGCTATTCAATAAACATACTTACCCAACTAATGATGTCACACAGCTTATTTTTTCATGCTCTAGCTAGCTTTCAAATAAAACAATAAAATGTTTGAATGTTAATGTTCTTTAAATTAAACTTTCTATGCATGTGAAAACACTAAAAAGACAAAATGAGTGGATCAATGTTTTGTCCAGTTCTATTAGGATTATAACAAAAATAGACTTGAAGATCATATTCAACATTCTGTAATTTAATTGCTATGGCCACTTGTAAGATATCATTGGCATTGGGTAATTTGCACCATTTCTCATTTTTTTATTGTAGTATCTGTTTGAATTTTTATTAATTTTATTATTTTTATTCATTTGTCTAACTTGTTTGTCTTTATTTGTAATACATAGTAGTTTTGCAGAAACTAGCTGTAATGCCTGTTTAACAAATAGCAGGAGTAACTATGTAGGGATAGGCAGCCACATCATGAGTTACAGGTACTTGTAATTAGTTTCATCTATTGCATGCAATAGAAATCTAATCGCATTTAATTACCTCTTTTTCATAATTTGTTATTGCCAATTTGCCATTGGATGCAATAGTAATACAATTTACAGGGGCGGATTCAGCCGTTCAATCTGACAGTAGCATTCTAAGATGTTATGCAAGGTAGGGGGGTGCAGGGGCATGCCCCCCCGGAAAATTTTTGAAATTTGAAGCCCGGAAATGACATTTCCTGGGTTCTGAGCATCAGACTCTGTTCTGAAATATGGCCTTAACCAAGTCAGATTTTAAACAATAAGTAAAAAAAATATCATAAACAATAGCAGAAAAATATTGAAACATACTTTGTTCTCTACTGAATAGCAGAACATCAGAGGACAATCACCTCATTTACATATATACACGCGACCACTATTCCAAACCACAGACAACGGCAGGACACGTATGGCAATATCACGTGCTGTTCCATGCTGTAATGTAGCATTACAGATTCTGCTCCAGAAATCATAAAGCGCTTTGACGTAGAAAAATCTCTGACAACATTGAACTCATTTAGGCGTTTCAGTTGCAAAATAGGTCTTTTATGGGAAAAGGTTTCGGACCCATTGACCAACCCTCCTCCTTTTTCATCCGGGCTTGGGACCGGGAATGGCGGAGTTAGGGAGCATCTTGCAATCATAATCTGTACATCAGCAGAATAGCGGAAGTATAATAGGAACCTTGTTCACTTCAAATCATCTTGAAACCGCAACCCGAAGCAAGTTACGTAAATGTTTAATGATAAATCATATCGAAACAGCAGCACGAATGTAGTTAAGTAAATGTTCACTGACAAATCATCTTGAAACAGCAGCCTGAAGATAGTTAAGTAAATGTTCACTGATAAATCATCTTGAAATGAAGGAGAAAGGCAACCAAAATATCCACTGGTGAATCATCTGGAGACAGCAGCAAGGAGATAGTTAAGTAAATGTTCATTGATAAATCAACTTGAAATGAAGGAGAAAGGCAGCCAAAATATCCACTGGTGAATCATCTGGAGACAGCAGCAAGGAGATAGTTAAGTAAATGTTCATTGATAAATCATCTTGAAATGAAGGAGAAAGGCAACCAAAATATCCACTGGTGAATCATCTGGACACAGCAGCAAGGAGATAATTAAGTAAATGTTCATTGATAAATCATCTTGAAATGAAGGAGAAAGGCAGCCAAAATATCCACTGGTGAATCATCTGGAGACAGCAGCAAGGAGATAGTTAAGTAAATGTTCACTGATAAATCATCTTGAAATGAAGGAGAAAGGCAACCAAAATATCCACTGGTGAATCATCTGGAGACAGCAGCAAGGAGATAGTTAAGTAAATGTTCATTGATAAATCATCTTGAATGAAGGAGAAAGGCAACCAAAATATCCACTGGTGAATCATCTGGAGACAGCAGCAAGGAGATAGTTAAGTAAATGTTCATTGATAAATCATCTTGAAATGAAGGAGAAAGGCAACCAAAATATCCACTGGTGAATCATCTGGAGACAGCAGCAAGGAGATAGTTAAGTAAATGTTCATTGATAAATCATCTTGAATGAAGGAGAAAGGCAACCAAAATATCCACTGGTGAATCATCTGGAGACAGCAGCAAGGAGATAGTTAAGTAAATGTTCATGATAAATCATCTTGAAATGAAGGAGAAAGGCAACCAAAATATCCACTGGTGAATCATCTGGAGACAGCAGCAAGGAGATAGTTAAGTAAATGTTCATTGATAAATCATCTTGAAATGAAGGAGAAAGGCAACCAAAATATCCACTGGTGAATCATCTGGAGACAGTAAATGTTAGGGCAAATGTTGTTTTCCTGGAATGCGCAGTTATAAAATATGATTCAGAAGAGTTTAAGCATCATTCTTCTTGGGTTTCTCTGGGCAAATTGATCAATTATCTCTTCAGTATCCAGATGAATTTTGCGATGGACATTTAACAAGGCTAGGCCTTTTAATCTGGATTCTGACATGGTGCTGCGAAGATAAGTCTTCAATCGGCGTAAAACGGAAATGGACCTTTCGCAGGTGCAAGTGGTAACAGGAATTGTTGCAAAAATTTGAAAAGCGGTGAATATATTGGGAAAACTTATTTTGTCGACAAACGGTAAAACATCAGCCAGTTTAGAAGGCAGAGGACCCTTTTCCATTTGGCAACGTTCAGCCCACATTTCCAATTCAGTGTCGAGAAAGCGAGGGTAAGGCAAGTCGTCCATATACATGTTGAGGAACTTAGAAAATTTGGTTTTCCAGTCAGGGTAGATAAGAACATTTTTTGGCAAACCATACACTGCATCCATAAGGTCAAGGTTTGTCTCCGAGAATCGTGTTTGGATTTCCGATTTAAGATGATCCAAAAAGGGCACACTAATTACTCTACGGTAATATTGTGACGGTGTATCAGCTGGTGTGTTAGCGCGGTGTTGTTGCCTCCCTGTCGTTCTTGGCTGATCTGGTTGAGTTCCAACACTGGTTCCCATGGATTCAGCTTCTTTGTACCACGAGTCGTGTTCTCGTCCACGTCATTTCTCATTTTCTCTAGATGAACGTAAAGAGCGGATACTTTTTCTCTAGCTGCTCCAGCATCAATAGCGGATTCCTGCAGTTGAACCGTGAGCGGTTGAGTCACCAGAAGACATTTTGAAACCACAACTAACGCGACAATGAATGGAAAGGACACGGTTGCTGAATATAAAGAAACAGCTTTTCGGACAGAATCTGGATTCCAATTGTCGCCGACATTGTCACGAATGATTTTCCAAGCATCTAATAATTGCAGGGAAAACCTCGATAAAAACACACAAACCATCGATTCTGGCCACCCATCTTGTTTTGCAAACATTTATCAGCCGTTTATGATTCGCTGTAGGAAGCATTTCGTGGATGGTCTTGACCAACAAATCAAAACGCTTCGGAGAAAAATTAAAGAACTCCGAGGCAACACGAACATGTTCCATCATATTCCTTACCAGTTGTTCTTTGCAGCAAGTGGCGACACAAAGGTTTAAACGGTGAGAGTTACAGTGAACATACAGAGCCTTCTTGTTGGTTTCTTGTATTCTAGCTGCTACTCCAGATAATCGCCCTGCCATGTTCCCAGCTCCATCATAACCCTGACCACGACAATCATCAATCGGCAAATTTTGGTCCGAAGGAATTCTTCAATTGTAGCGGCAACAGCTTCACCAGACACACCCTTTTTGCACGGGACAAAGCCAAGAAACTCTTCTCTTATTTGACACTGCTTGTCTACAAACCGGATAACGATACTAAGCTGTTCTATGTTGCTACAATCTGATGCTTCGTCGGCGAGAATGGAGTAAAACCTTGCTTCGCGGATCTCATCAGTAAGTTTTTTGGTTATCATATCGCCACATATATCAATTATTTCATTCTGAGTGGTTTTTGATTTGTAGGTCATGTTCTTAGGAGTGCTTTTGAAAAGTTCCTCAAGAGTCTTACCAGCACACATTGCACCGTACTTTAGGATTTCAATAAAATTACCACAGTTAACCTCATCTGACAGATAGTTCGAAGAATCATCTCTATGTCCACGCAAGGGAATATTTTGCCTGCCACAAAGAACGATTGCTCCGATAATGGGTCTCAGAAGTTTTCTGTTTTCCTCTATCTGCTGCCTTTTCATATCATCCAACATAACATCAATGGGTGCAGACCTTTGCTCCATATGAGATCTTAGTACTGCTGCACGCGCTGTGGCTGCTTTGTGAAGTGGTGACTTCTCGAATGCTCCCTGAATTTAGCGGGTGCGACCTGCCATGTGGTGAATGGGGTTTTAAAAAGCCTTTGCAACTTACTCGTATTGTGCATCCCAGTACATTCTGAACCAAACAGCACGCAGTTTATGCAGAAAGCTCCATTCAACTTTTGCGAGTACGTCAGCCACGGAAACAACTTGATCCAATCCAAGCGAAACTTCCTGCCGTTTACCAAAGGAAATGGAAAGTTTGTAGATGGTACCCAAACGTTGCAAAGAACCTCGTACTTCTGCGTATCAGTTAAGGAGTTGCTGTTGACAAAGTTAGCTATATCATTTGGGGAACACGATGTTTCGGATCTTGAACATTCAGGTACGTGTTCTGAAACCAATGAACTAGGTACACGTTTTTTAGACAAAAGATTCGGCTTTGGAATATCTTCGTCGTCACTTTCCTCGGCAAACTTTCTTTTTTTAGGGAATAGCTTGTCAAGAATGGTCTGCTTCTTTTTAACTGGTTGCGATGAAGAAGAGTTTCTTGCGGGTACAAAGGCAGAGGAAGTTGCCACAGGCACAGTACTACATAACGGTGGCGGCGTTTGCTTGGTAGGCGGCGTAACATTTCGTACTTGTGTCGAACTGATATTAATACCTGGTGAAACTTTCTTCATAACAAAGTGTCGAACACCTACCTTACTGCTGCTTTCTTTTGCTTCACAAAGAGCAACATAGTGATTTTTGGTCGCAGGAACTTTACCAAGCTTGGAATAATCCATAGGCATTAATGCACAACGAAATAAATGAATTTTCTGATCTGAAATTGATGTTGCTATTTCTCGCGGATATATAGTGCAGTTAAACATTGTAGACAGGGAGTCAATTTTTTCTTCATTAGGTGTAATTGGAAAATACGACTCGATTGGACGTTTAACAACACTTGATAGGGAAAGAAGACAAATAAAAGAACTCCATTGATGATTCATTGCGTTGCTGTATGCTTCAGTGAGTATTGGTGCGCAAGGATCTTCTTTTGTACAGAACCAAGAGCAATATCAGACAACACATTGCAAAAGTATTTGCAATGGAACTAAACGCACCTTTTTTGTGCTGCTGCTCAATAATGGGATGTTTAGCATAAAACGAAGAATTTAAAAAAAGTTCAATGCTTGTCAGACAACGCAGGTAAGACGCCAGAGACTCGTTGCCACACAATGCAATGGAACATGCATTGTACAAGCAATTGCCATCTCCAGTAGTCCTAAATATGGGAAATACAGAAAACTATGTACTGTTTTTGCATACAAAAAGATATAATAAGTGGGACCCTTAAGCTATGCACTGACACACGTAAGGGGAGCTGAAATTCAAACTCCACTATTTGAGTGTGAGCATGAATGAGCTTTTAGAATACAGGTGTTAAAAAATTCAAGTTAATAACTCTATCAATACACTGTACATTTGTGGAAATTGCTCAAAGACAAAATTATGTAATTAACCTACTTAGTTACTTTATTAATCTTTATCTATCTTCACATTTATCTATAATGTTACTTTGACATTTGGTTCCACATCCACTTATTGCACATATATTTCAGGACATTTATAAATAATTTCAATTAATCTAGGTAAATCCTGTATTTTAGTTAGTTGTCAGTAATGAATAATTACACATTTATAAATTAAGCTTGTGTGTCAATGGTGCTGCGAATCTCTTACTGTAATTAATCAGTGGTATTATTTTTATGTGCCAATTAATAGCTTGCAGTACCATGTGTAGGTAAGCAAATACAAAATACACTATCGCAGCCAGAAGCAGGCTTTATTGTCTATATGTAATTCTAAATTATGATAACTTGATTACTGTGCTGTTGAGGAAATACTCTGGTTTACTATTATGGGTATGTGATTATAGTGTAATTCGAAACTCTGTTAGCAGTTACCACTGTATATATACACATATAGACAACAGAGTCAGACAACAGCCTGTGCAGGTATAATTACGAATAAGTTCATGAACACTGCAGTATCTAAGATAAAACACTGCAGGGTCTAAGATATAAATATATAGCATATTAACTCACATATTTCTTCAATAATATACACACATGACACATATTACATGGCTATTAAATTAGGATGAGAGGCCATTGTTCTGTATTTTTTATACATAAGCAAAATATGGTAATATATTCGACAAGAATGAAATGTGTAAACAATTTACATATTTATATATTATTCATAAGACTGACCTGACAGGAAGGTGATTTAAACAGCGCTGTTGTTCGCTTCGTGGGAACTGCAAATGCGAAAAATCGCACACCAAAACCTTTCGATTATCCGAGACGTTCCTTAGCGATTCCTCCACGACCACTTTCTCACACAGGGATTTAACAGAGGCTATTTTATTCGCCTTTTCGTCAAACGAAATACGTTCGTTCAGTATACAAAGAAGCTCATCGAGTGGGTCTGTAGAAAGCCATGTCTACTTAGTAATTACCGCGTCTATTCACTCTATGATTACAAGTCAAGCAACGAGGAGCGGCGAATACGATTATACGACAACAAGTCAACTTCATCGTTCTGAAGTCGAAGCGACTATTGCAAACAGTAGCAGTTTGCTTCATTTTGATTGGCTGCTCCGTGAGCGTGCAACCAATCAGAATGCTGTATTTGCGAATTTTTGCAGCGGTCAGTTTCAATATGACCACTGCAAAAATTTGTAAATACAACGCTATCATTGGTTTGCTACAGTTAGATGGGGCAAGCCAATCAGAATGAGGCAAATGCTACAGTTTGCAATGACTTGCTTCGATTTCAGAACGATGTGATATAGCAATTGCCGTAAAACCCGCAAATACAGGCAATATAATGCTAATTTCGGGCTGAAATTTGATAAAAACCCATATTTAATCATCCAAAATGAAATAAAAACTATTTCAATATACTGGATTACCGGGTAATTTTGTAAATTTCAAATATGAAATTATTAGCAATTATTTCGTTTTCCAAAGGTACACCCTGGAAAAAAATATGTCGGTAAAATCTGACCGTAGCATATGCTACAGTTGCAACGGTCTGAATCCGCCCCTGATTTAATTCAATCGGAATTCCCATTGAACCCAATTGGAATTCCCATTCAATGCAATTGGAATTCCCATTTAATGCAATTGGAATTCCCATTGAATCCAATTGGAATTCCCATTCAATGCAATCAGAATTCCCATTGAATCCAATTGAAATTCCAATTGCATTGAATTGGAATTCCTATAAGATTCAATGGGAATTCCAATTGGAAATTGGGCCAATTTCCAATAGGATCCAATTGGAATTCCAATTAGATATGCAAACAGAATTCTAATAGGATCCAATTGGAACCTGGCTTGGAATTCTAAGGGCTGCCAGTTAGCCTGGCTTGGAATTCTAAGGGCTGCCACTTAATAGGGTTTAATGGGGTTTTCTATTACATGCAAAAACAACTTTGAGAGTTATTGTTTCACGATGCCTAAACGGTGTGTCGTTTACGTGTTTTTCTAACATTGCTGACCCAGACAAGGGTATTTTTTATATCAAATACCTTTTTGGGGTGATAATTCGCCTGTAGCGGTCACTAGAAAGAAGAGATGGACAAGCTTTGTTCGACGCAGACGCGATAAATGGGCTCCAACAATTTCGTAAATTTTGTGCTCATGGCATTTCACAGAGAGAAGTAAGCAACACCAAGCTTCGTCGGCAATCGGTTCCTCCATTTAGGCCTCTTCGACTGAGTCTTCATACATTTACTGATTTTGCTCGCCGTAACTGGCCTCAAAATCTGTTTCAACGCACTCATCATCAATTTCACAGGAAGTTTTATTAGAATAATTGCGAGAGGTGCTCAACAGCGAATTTGAACTCGACATTTCGGATTTTTCACCCAAAAATAGCTATTTTCCCACTGGCCAACTCAATTTGTAATACAATTTCCTAGTGTCAAAATACTGGGTGTTCCTCCGACCCAGTCCCTCAGTGTTGCACTACTTTATTTTCAGAATTCTCACTTTGAGCCCCTATATCTCAAAAAGTAGAATTTTAAATCGAAATCTAATATAGAACTTATTTTGCAACTTTTTACGCTATATCCGAATCATCAAAAACCCATTTTGGGTTTATAAGGCACTTTAATAGCTTGATTTGAAGCCTTTATGAAAAATATTGTTGGTTTAAGTACGAAATTTGTTTTGTTTGTTTGTTTATATTTATTAAATTTAAATACATGCAAACAAGACTAACATGAACTGAGAAAAAAGCAGTGATCCACTTTGACAATTTTAAATTGAAGAAGACACTGAGTAAAGTTAACTACCAAGTTAAATATTCACTTAAATATCAAAATATATTTATTTTCACAGTTCACACTACAGTATTATGAATTATGATAGGATAGATTTGAGGTTGTAGAGTGGTCACTCAACAAAACAGGGAACAGTAGCAGGGTGAATCTTGTGCGTTGTTCTAAACTAGGACTAATATTGAGAGAACTGACAAAGAAATTTTTAAGATGAGGATTTATTGAACTTAACAGGAACTATAAATACAATATACAACAATGAAGACAATAGCTATATAAAATCAGTATTGCTTGCTTCTAAGCAGGATAAAAAATAGTCTGATATTGGTTCTTTCCTGTCCAATATTGAGTGATCAAAGTTTTTAACGTAAAATATATATGCAGCAATTGTTTTAGAATATCAACCAAATGCTTTGTTGTATGAATATGAAATAAAAGTAAATGTCAGAAATATTTCTACTATGTGAGACAAAGTTAGCTAGATGGCAAGAACTGACTAATGACTCTTGCACTTTGATCAAAAATCATTTTTTGTACTCCAGCAGAAAAGAAATGCTTAGATAATTTAGTAGAAGTGATTTTAGAGAAGCTTGTTTCATATTTGATGTTGGACAAGAAGCTTTGGATGGCATCATTAAAGGCTGTACAATTGACCATCTTTCCATCAATTTTCATGAGTAGTTGAGCAACAACTTTTGTTTGAAGAACATCTTTGACAAGTGTCATATTACAGTTTGAACATGTAAATGTATCTTCAAAAAGTTGTGAATCTTCAATGATTTTACTGCAGCATGCACACGAGATTATGCACTTGATATTGACTCCAAGGCACTGACCAGCAACAATGTTGTCTTGTAATTCAGGTGTCACCATGTTGATGTTAAGGATTTGATCAATTTCTGTTATTTTAGTAAATTCATTGGTGTTGAGAAACTTGGAGTCCTCAAAGACCCTCACTTTGCAATTCTCAATGTGATAGCATTTACCAACATGGACTTTTTAATGGCATTTTCCCACAATACAAGCTTCATGGCATTGGTTTCATCAGCAACAATAGAATCTGTCTTAAATGTAGTCTTTTCATTATGACCTTAACCTTAAGATCAACAGTTTTATAAACACTTGCGTTTAAAGTTTCCTGGACTGTGTGAAGCCGGTTACTTAAGGAATTATCACAATGGAATTGAAGATCCACAGGCATTATTTTTGCTTTCTTTAATATGGTGTATTCTTCACTTTGACAACTGGACCTCTTTGATTTATTCTGAACAAGGCCAGTGATTTTGACGGGTGATTTGCTCTGCTGGGATTGCTGTAATTTTTGTCGCTTTTCTGGAGAATAGCATACCATACGTACAGCAGCATTTTCAGTTGTTTGTAGTTTCAAGTCAAAGTATTTGGTTGAAGACTTTGTTGCAGTTTTAACTCCACTTATGAGGTGGACATAACCTTCAAGTGTTTGAGCTAAGATAAAAAAGTAACTGGTGGTGAAAATTGTATTCAATATAAAAAGATCCTCATACTGTATAAAATGACAATAGCACACAATATAGAATTATAATAATGGTATCACTTGTTTATAGTACCAATTTTTTATGTTGTTCAACAACAAAAAACCAGGTCTAACTCAGCTTATTAATGCCTTAAAAAAACTGATATGACTAGTATGACCAAAGGTTAAACATACAATTATCTTCAACTTCTGAAGCTTTGCTTGACTTTGATGTCGAGGATCTGTAGGCAATAGAATTGTAAAATATTAACAATGATACAATTACAAGAACATCAACAACAACATAGTCTTAAAATATATCTGAAATAGATAGTTTAGTACATTGATGTCGATGACATGATTCCAGACTTTCCAGTTGCCTTTTTCGAAACTCACTTGACTTGTGTTTGTGGTTTGACGTTTGACCATGTGCTTCACACAACGACATCAACACGTCAAAATCCCTTGTCAAAATCTTGATACCCTGATATACCGACTTCGTTCACCCAAAGATGTTGAGTACTTCCAATTATATGCTTGACTTGACCTCGTGTTTGCTATAAAAAATTGTTTCTATTTTGCTGGGGAGGTTATACCATTTTCGTCATTGTTTTATTTGCAAAGTTGTCCTCATTTTGTTACCATTCTTCTTGGAAAAACAATATGTTTTGTAAGTGTTTTAAACATCGATTCTGATATAATTACGAGTATGAATTGCAACAGATTTTGTGAGTTGTATGGACCAGTATTTTCTGGCGTCGCAGCAACATTGAATAGACCTCTTCGGAGAGCAAATAAACCTCTTTGGAGATCTAAACAATCTTTTGAGGGAGCAAAACAACCTCTTCAGAGGAAACGTGTCAATAGTAGTTTATGTATTACTTGTGTAAATTCAGGTCATTGTGCACATAGTTTCAGACCTTCTGTCAAGCAATTAACTAAAACAAATGTCAAACGATGTAGAGAGCATGAGCCTTCTAGATTACCTTTAAAAAGAATTATATTGGCTCTGGGAAAGAGAAAAAATAGAAAATTTTTAAAGCATTATTTTGCAAGATCTGTTACTAACTCATCTATCTTAAAAAAGTTAGCTGGCAATTACAAGCAATACTGTTTTCAATTTGTGCATATGCAATATGTTTTTATGAAGTCGTTCAGGTATTATAAACCATCAGTTAATTATGGTTTAAACACTCGATACAAAGCTCCTCATAGCAAACTTGCTAATCAACAACATTACATATCTCAAAAGAGGCTATTGCTGTCAGGAGATATTGAATTGAAACCAGGTCTTGTTCAAAATAGCAACTGTTACAAAATGCCACAAAATGTTGTGTTAATAGAAACAAGATTAAGATGCTTTCAGCTAAGACCATTTGATGTAGCTGGTGATGGTGACTGCTTCTTTTGAGCAGTGTCACATCAGTTATTTAGTGACCCTGAGCAACACTTAAAAGTTAGAGCAGCTGGTGTTGCATATATGAGGGAATATCTCGAGAGATTCATTGAAACTAATACTGAAAATTCTTGGTTAGAATACCTGAATAATATGTCTATGCAAGGCACATGGGGTGATGCTATGATTATACAAGCTGTAGCTGACCAGCTTAAGTTAAAAATTATTATTGCTGAGACACATGAATACAGTATAATACAACCAGTTTCATCAACATGTCAACTAACCAATATCTATTTGGGTCATATAGATGAGTATCATTACATATCAACATTAGGCCTACCATGTTCTCCAACTTATGGGTTCAATCGAAACGAGATAAATTCTTCTCAAAAAATAGACAATAGTAAAAATATTGAGATAAACATTAGGAACAGAGAAGAGAAATTTAATGAAACCGTTGTAGAATATTTAGTGTATTATGTAATACTAAATATGTATAAGTGGAAGCACTAGGTGGAAACACAATGTAAATATAAGGAGATGGCTGGCGGCCATCTTGGTATAATTTTAAAATATATGTTTAGGGTAGGTTTGAATCTGAGTTTAATCCGTTGATGTAAGATTCTACAATTAGTTTAAACAAAAATTAGTTCAAGAGAATTTGATATTGGAGGATTTCGACCTTTTGATGTGAACAGTGATCCGAATAGTGTTGGGTGTGAATGGAAAAGATGGCTTCGTAGTTTTCAGTTATATGCTGATGGCAAAGGACTTATTGAACCTGACAAAGACGACAACAAGATACAGAGACGAGCACTTTTACTCCATTGTGCTGGGTCGGAAGTCCAAGATATTTTCGATGTTTTGCCTGAAACGGGGAGCGCAAAGGAATATGAGAAAGCCGAAGAAGCTCTAACTAAACATTTTGTCACACAAGTCAATGTTCCGTATGAGCACCACATGTTCAGAGAAATGGCGCAGAATGAAAATGAAACTATTGATCAATTTGCTGTTCGTTTGCGACGGAAAGCTCAGCAGTGTGATTATGGAGATCAGCTAGAGTCTCAAATCAGGGATCAAATTATTTCAAAGTGTCGTTCGAGTGATTTGCGCAGAAAGTTTTTGGAAAGAGGTCAGACACCTTACCTTAGTCAATTACAAGAAATAGCAAGAACCTCTGAAGCTGTGAAAAGACAGGCAAAGAGTATGAATGTTCAAAATGATGGAATGAATAGAGTTTCCGAAAAGTCTGGTCGATTAAACAGATATGAAAGCAAAAGTGAGAAAGGGGGAAGAGTTAAGAAGAGTGGTGAATGTTTTCGGTGTGGGAAACCAGGACATTTTGCCAGAGACCCTAAATGCCCTGCCAAAGGGAAGGAATGTTCCAAGTGTCACCAGAAAGGTCATTTTGCTGTTGTGTGCAAAACGAAGAACAAAGATTACGGCAGACATTATGTGAGCTTTGTTGAGGAAGAAGACAAGTATGCTTTCGCCGTTAAGGGACAATCAGAGACAGGAAAAGTGGAAGTGTCTGTTGGAGGTGTTTCAGTGGAGATGGTTATTGATTCCGGAGCAAGTACAAATGTCATTGACAAATATCTGTGGGAAAAGTTAAAAAAAGAAGGACATTAAATGCACGTCAAGGAAGACTACAAAGAATTTGTATGCATATGGATCAACAACTCCTCTTACAGTGATAGGAACATTCACAGCAGATATAAATATAGCCGATAGACATGTAACAACCGAGTTCACAGTTATCGAAGGTCGAGAGAACCATTATTGGGCAGAAAGACTGCAACAGAGCTTGGAGTTCTTAAATTAGAAGTTTCAGAACAGTTTGTGAACAGTGTGACTGATTGTGTTGCAAGACATAAAGATTTGTTTCAAGGCATTGGGAAAATAAAGGGTTATCAAACGAAGCTGCATATAGACCCACAAGTTCAACAAGTTGCACAGCCTCCTAGGCGGACTGCATTTAGTTTGCGAGGGAAGATCGAAAGGAAACTTGAAGAATTGATTAGTGAAGACATCTAGGAAGTTGAAGGGCCGACTCCATGGGTGAATCCAGTTGTGGTGGTGCCAAAAGGAAACGGTGAGGTCCGGTTATGTGTGGATATGCGGTGTGCCAATAAAGCGATCATCAGGGAGAGACACCCAATTCCAACTGTTGACGAAATACTCCAAGATATGAAAGAGGGTGGTATTTTCAGTAAGCTGGATCTCAAGTGGGGGTATCACCAGATAGAATTAAGTGAAGAATCCAGAAGTATAACAACCTTTGTAACACATAAGGGATTGTTCAGGTACAAGAGGTTGATGTTTGGCATAAGTTTGGCACCAGAGAAATATCAGCAGGTGATTCAACAAGTGTTGCAAGATTGCAGTGGGACAGCCAACATATCAGATGACATAATTAGAGCAGAAAAAGTCGTTCAGAGAACTTAAACGTAGACTTGCACAACCTGAAACTTTAAGTTATTTTGATCGAGATGTGAAGACCAAGATTGTTTGTGATGCGAGTCCGGTTGGACTGGGAGCAATTTTACTGCAAGAGCACAAAGGAGAAGATTGAGTTATTTGTTATGCTAGCAGAGGTTGAAAGACGATACTCACAGACAAAGGAGGCATTGGCGGTAGTGTGGTCGTGCAAAAGGTTTCCTGTTTACTTGTATGGGAAACAGTTTGAACTGTGGACTGACCATAAGCCTTTAGAATGCACCTATTCAGCACGGTCGCGACCATCAGCAAGAATTGAGAGATGGGTTTTGTGGTTACAACCGTATTCATTTACAGTGAAGTACCTGCCAGGCATCTAAATGTTGCAGATTCATTGTCACGTTTGACAAAGATGGCAGAAATAAAATCCAAGAATGTAGCTCAAGAGTATGTCAGTTTCGTTGCGAAAACAGCAGTTCCAACAGCAATGACTTCCAGAGAAATTGAAGAAGCGTCTTTTTGCGATGAAGAGCTAATGACTGTTTGTCAGTGTATTGTAACAGGTAATTGGGACAGTCCCAAGTGTGCCAGTTTTAAGTCAGTTCGTGATGAACTTTGTGTTGTTGGAAACATTATTTTGAGAGGTACACGGATGGTCATACCAAAAAAACTTCGATCAAGAGTGATTGAGTTAGGCCACGAGGGCCATGAAGGTATTCTCAAGATGAAACAAAGATTGCGTACGAAAGTATGGTGGCCAGGGATTGACCAAGAAGCTGAAAAGCTCAGTAAAACGTGTCATGGGTGCCAGGTTGTAAGCAGGCTCGTTAGCCCAGAACCATTGCGAATGACAGAGTTACCTCGGGGACCATGGCAGGATATCACGATTGATTTCATGGGTCCATTGCCTTCAGGCGAATATGTTTTTGCTGTAACCGATTACTATAGTCGAATACGGCTGAAGTAGCGATTACCAGTTTGGAAAGCATGTTTGCAACACATGGATTACCATAAACAGTGACTAGTAATAGATAATGGGGCCTCATTTTGTTGCAGAGACATTCGAGTCATTTCTGTGAGATAACGGAATCGAACATCGGAAGACGACGCCGTTGTGGCCCCAAGCGAACAGAGAGATTGAACGCCAGAATAGGTCTCTACTGAGAAGGATGCAAATTGCAAGAGTGGAAGGAGAAGATTGGAAGAAAGCTGTGCAAACATACATGATTGCATATCGGAATACGCCTCATCCAACGACAGGAATGTGTCCAGCTGAACTGATGTTTAGAAGAAAATTGAGAACTAAACTTCCAGAGCTGAGAGAAGAGGTTAGGTTGGATGAAGAATTGCGAGACAAAGATAGAGAGAAAAAGGAGAAGATGAAAAGTTATGCTGACAAAAGAAGGAATGCGAAAGAGAGTGATTTATCGGAAGGAGACAAAGTGTTATTGAAACAACAGCGCGTCAACAAGTGGACACCTGTGTTTGAGAGTCAACTGTATCAAGTCGTTCGTAAACACGGGAACTGTGTTCGGGTTGAGTCACCTGAAGGTGTTCAGTGTTGTTCAGAAACACGACTCATGTGAAACCATTCCAAGACAGAGATACTGGGTTTAAAGAAGAAATACGTCCATAAGAAAGTGAATCACAGCGGGAAGAAATATGTCCAGAAGAAAGTGAGTCACAGCAGGTGGATGAAGTGGTGGATGGTTCTAACAAAGAAACTTCCAAAACAGTAGAGAGTCGTCTATTTTTAAAATCTCCAAGACCTGTGCGCATACGACGAGCGCCACAAAGGTATGGAGAGTATGTGAGTTTGGTTGAACACATTTGAAGTGCAAATTGATAGGTTATATTTAAAACATTAGAAACACTATGGCCAGTATTGAGGACATTAGAAACACTATAGGTAGTATTTAGTATTTTTAGCTTTGATGGAAAACGTGAGAAAAAAGTACATTATTGTTAAATTATATTAATTAGGGACTTGAGAATTATTGTTAGAAAACTCTTGAAAAACATTGGAAAAAGAAAGGGATGTAGAATATTTAGTGTATTATGTAATACTGAATATGTATAAGTGGAAGCATTAGGTGGAAACACGATGTAAATATAATGAGATGGCTGGCAGCCATCTTGGATGGCTGGCAGCCATCTTGGTATAATTTTAAAATATATGTTTGGGGTAGGTTTGAATCTGAGTTTAATCCATTGATGTAAACCACCACAGACATTAATATCCAAATTTCATAGTATTGTCTCACAAGGTCCTTGTTATATTTGCATTTGTTGTGATCAATTATGGTATAATCACAGTGTTATTCCAGCTGCAAAACTTAAAGAAAATAACCCTGACATTCAAAAGAAGCTTTTAAACAAATAAAGCGTGAACAATCTTGAGTCGGTGCGTCAAACATGTAATAAGCATTTAAAGAACAATAAGGTGCCTCCATGTGCTGCGATAAATGGGATGCAATTCCCAGTAAAGCCTGCATTTTTTTATTTAAATGAATTGGAATGTAAGATTACTTGTTCCAAGACTTGCATTTCAAAAAATAATGCAGGCTTCCAGAGGTAGACAAGTAAAAATCAATGGAAACATTGTTAATGTCCCAGCAGATGTAGCTAATACAGTCAACATATTACCAACGTTACCAAATGAGACCAGCACAATTTAAGTTAACCTTAAGAGAAGATTGCAGTATTATTATTATTATTATTAAAAAATCTTTAACGAGGAGAGCTCCAATCACACAAAGGTGGTTTTCATGGAGGCCCTCAAATAAAAAGATGTTTACATAAACACACATACCATATACATAGACACTAAAAAGAATAAGTTAAAAATTTTAAAACAAGCTGATTATTCCAAATATTGTCCAAATCTTTCTCAAACCGTCTTTTGACAACCTGTAATACACTCACTGACTCTACCCGTTCTTCAACAACTTTTTGAAGGAATTTATGGGTATCATCTGCCTATGAGTCCTTGGTAAACTAGTCCATGCAGCAAAAACAGTTTGTGTAGTTAGTCTCTTGCCCCAATTTGTTCTTGGGGTTGGAAGACGGTTAAAAATATTATCTCTAAAATAGTATTTAGTATTACAATCATCCTTATTAGTTAGTTCATGCAAATGTGAAATGTACTCTCCTTTCATAACCCGATGGGCCAACATTGCTCTATAGTTCCTTCTACGTGTTACCAGGTCTAGCCATCCAAGTTCCTTTACTGCTTCTTCACCACTTAGTGTCTGGGCCAGTATCTTCTTTGCAAATTTATTTTGAAAGCCTTGTAACTTCGTCATTTCTGCCTTTATACCCGGTTGATCACCCCAAAGAATGCTCATGTAGTCCATATGTGGTAGCACAAGACCGTTAAAATATGCAATCTTACACTTTACATCAAGATGATATTTAATTCGATGGAAAACCGCAAGCCGGTGACCTAGTTTCTTAAATACTTGAGCAAGATGTAATTTCCACGACCAATTTTCATCCAGCATTGCTCCCAGATATTTATAACTGGTTTTCCGTTCGATTTCTTCGTTGTTTATTTGTAATGTTATGTCATTAAAATAGGTCAGCCGCTGTGAGCTACCAACCAACATCATTTTACACTTCCTTGAATTTATTGCAAGCTTATTTATTCCATACCACATTGATATATTATCCAAGTCTCTTTGAAGGAGAGACTGTAGCTCCGTTTCACTAGAACCAACATTATACAGGACCGCATCGTCAGCATAAAGAATCAATTTGCTGGTAGTTAAGCAATTTTTCATTGAGTTCACGTATATCGTAAAGAGCAGTGGCCCCAAAATTGACCCTTGCGGTACTCCCAATTGAACAATCCGGTCCTGAGATTTTTCGCCATCAATGCTGACAACTTGCTTCCGGCTTGCAAGGTAAGATTTGAACCACCAAACAGAACTGTCATCTACTCCTATAATAGATAACTTTTTCAGTAAGATCTTATGGTTAACGGAGTCAAAAGCCTTGGAGATATCTAAAAAAACTAGACCGTTGACCGATCCTTTATCCATTTCCTGCATCACCCAATTGTTTATCTGGGCAACCGCATCCTCCGTCGAATATCGTTTCCTGAAGCCATACTGATGTACATAGATCAAATTATTCGATACTAAATATGAATATAATTGCTGATGAACTATACGCTCAAGTACTTTGCTCAA